CAGTTTGAGAAACCACAAGGATATGTTGCTCTTTAATAGTTGTTAGTGGGCCGGGGAGATGGCTCAGTAGAATAAGTGCTTCCCTGGAAAGTATAAGGATCTGAGTTCAATTCCTGGTTCTGCCAAAAAAAAAAAAAAAAAATCCAGTAATTGAATGAATTGGATAATATGTAAATTAATAATTGTTAGTGTACTTTTATGCATTTAGCATCTTTTTCAAATGTTACCCTTACTCCTTTGAGAGCTCATCCCCAGCCATTAATAAATCGCTAGGACCACTTGTAGAAAGTCCACACTGTCCGTGTTTGGTTCGGGCATGGTACTCTAAGCAGCTATGAAAGTTAGAAATTAATAGGCAGAGAGGAATTGGACTCTTGAGGGAGTTAGTACAAATGCGGCACACCAAGACCATGGCTGTCACCCAGGAGGCTGAGGCAGGACCGTCGATGGGAGTGAGAGGTCAGCCTGGGCTCCGCTGTTCTAGGCCAGCCTAAACTACTTAGTGAGGCCCTGTCTCAAAAAAACAAAAACAAATGAAAAACATTGTGCGGGAGGTGATTCTGAAGAAGATCAGGCCTCGAGATGGAAACAACAGCCAGGTCTGCACGCACCCTTAGCAACAGACAGCAGCCCGAGTTGTACCCTAGCCAGCACTGCCAGGTCCCACGAGCCTGGGAGCATCAGCCACCGTTCTGGTGACCAGAACACATAGAGCTGTCCTCCATCCCTCCAGCAAGGCCACTGGTCTCTCTATGTGGCCTTGCTGCATGGTCCACTTCCCTATTGGATCCATAGTAGCTAAGAAGCTGTACTTGTAGTCCTCGATGTTTGACTCACGTTGTGCCCATGCGGTGACTTTGGCATAAGGGGCCAGGACCAGGACCAGGACCAGGACCAGGACCCCTGGCGGAGACCCAAAAGCTCTTTCTATTCTAACTTCCTCCTTTGGTTTGAGATCTCACTCTGTGATGTCCTGAGATCACAAACTTGTACACTTGACATCTAACAGTGAGGGAGCTGTCTTCCCTATAGCAATAGGCATTGTATTGCATTATCTATACAGGATAATGTTTTGGTCCTTTCTGGATTAAATCTAAACAAATTGATTAAAGCTGAACAAACACCTTATAGCTATGCAAATAGTTGTCATCATGTTCCTGCTAATATCTCTACGTGGTTTAGAGGGACACTTTCAAAGCAACTTCTGGCCACGTAGCAATAGAAGATCGACTCGAGTCTCTTGAGAAACCACCTTGCAACAGTTCAGGGGTCTGCTGGTGATAGAACCACCTTGCTGGTAGCTTCCTTCTTGCTTTCCTTGGTAAGGGAAAAGTCTTTAATTTAGAATCAGCTGGAATGCTTCTCAGTTCTTGCCGTACTCTGTGGGGTCTTTATTCAGTGCTCATGTTAGCTTTCCCTTACTAGAACAAAATGCCTAAGGTTAGCAACTGCGGAAGAGGCACAGCTCCTTTGGGCTTGGTGCCGGAGCTCAGCTGCACCGTTAGTTGGCCTTTTCAGTCACGGCTGCTGCTTCAGAGGCTGGAGGTTGTGGCGAGAGTGCAGCAGGGGAGGCTGCTCCCCTCACGGTGGGGGATGGTGGGTGACTCACGTCCCTGCGAGGTGCACCTGTGAAGACCCACTCCCCCACGAGGCCCCACCTCCCCGCTTCCCCAGGCCAGGGGCTGAGAAGCCAGCCCTCGCTGTCGGGCCTTCACGCGGTGCTGCTCCTGCTCTGGGTCAAGGGCACCAGGAGGAGCATCCGGAGACGCTTTCTCTTGTCGGTCCCGTTACTGTTTCCTTCTTCCTCATCGCTGGGGAAGTTGGTCGCAGCATCCAGGTCAGGCAGGCTAACGCGGCAGAGTCACAGGAAGGCAATTCATGTGCACTCTGGTGGCGCATCTTCTACCTCAGCCTGCGGTGTATGCTGAGCACTGGAGGGTCAATTAATAAAGCAGTAAGTCATGGGGTAAGTATTCTTTCCTTTGCACCATTGTTTTTATTTTCTATCCTCTGCTACCTTCCTTCCCCTCACTCTCCTTCCTTTTCCTTCCATTCCATGCCCCTTCCTTTCTTCTTTCTTTCCTACAGACAGAAAAGGGGGTCTTTGGGAGTTCAGAGGATTGAAAACGAGGGTCTTTGGGGGTTCAGGGAATCGAATTCAGGACCTCGCGCTTGCCAGCCAGACACTTATGCCGCTGAACTATCTCCCTGGCCCCTGAACCCAGGGTTTTTGTACTGAGCTATAGCTCCATTTCTTCATTTACTTTTGAGACAGGGTCTTTCTAAATTTCCCAGGCTGGGCTTGAATTTGTAGTCCTCACACCTCAGGCTGCAGAGTGCTGGGATTGCAGGTGAGTGCCACCAAACTGGATTTATTTTCTACTGTTCTTATCTGTTTATTCCCCCAGACCCGGATGTTCAACCCAAGACACGAGAGCTGCTGTGGTGGCTCAACCTCACGGATCATAAACTGTAACCACTGTATGAGTCTAGCAGTATTTTAAAAATATTTTTTAATTTTTTATTTATTAATTTGGTATAGGGTCCTGCTATGAAGGTTGGGCTTGTAGTGATCCAACCATCTCAGCCTCCCCAGCGCTGGGATTACTGGTGTGCACCACCACACTGGGCTTTGGAGCCAGTGCAGAGTGAGGGCAAGCATGGCCTATGCTGCTGAGGATTGAACTCGGGCCCTTGCATTTGCCAGGCAGGTGCTTAGACTGCTGAGCTATTTCCTCAGCCCAGCAGGGCTTTTTTTTTTTTTTTCCCTGTATTTTAGGGAAGGGTGTACAGGGTGTACAAGGTCTCACTACTAGATTGGACTAGTAGTGATCCACTTGTTTACAGCCTCCCAAGGACTGGGATTACAGGCACGCACCACCATGCTCACTCTCAATTGTCATCTCAGTGCACCCCAGGGGCAGGCCTGGGGATCAAATCCCTGGCCCCTGCGCCTGCGTGCAAATGCTTTAATCCACTGAGCTATTTAGCCGGCTCCCCAGCAGTATTTTTTTTTGAGACCAAATAGTTCTTGCTTTGTGCTTAGACAACAAGCACAGGGATGTGACTTCCCCCTCCGTCCCTGCACCAGTCTGGTAGGAGCCTCCTCCCTTGAGTGACAGAGGAAGTTCGTCATTTAAATGCATCAACCAGGGCTGGGGAGACAGCTTGGTGCTCTAAGCGCCTGCCTGACAAGTGCAAGGACCTGGGTTTGATCCCCAGTACGGCATGCCATGCCTCCTTGCCTCTTGCTTAGCCGGCCACTGAAAGTGGGCATAGTAGTGCACACCTGCAATCCCAGTGCTGGGAGGGCTGAGACAGAAGGATCCCTAGGAGTCTGAGCTGCCTAGTGAGACCCTGTGTAAAATAAATACATTTATTAAAAAAATAAATACATCAATCATAACTGTTGGCTGAGCATCACCGAAGGCAAAGATCCACTCTGTATATTTTACTCGGCCTTGGACTCTCCACCAGCTAGGCCCACTTCCACTGTCTTGCAATGCTGTAAAGTTTCGAGCGTGCTTTCCCTCAAGTCTCAGAGCTGCTGAGGGGAGAGGGGTCTGAGCCACGGCCACCCGCGTCCTTGCTGAGCTGGTGAGGCCCGGCCCTGCACAGAAGCCTGGTCCCTCCCTGTGGCAAGAAGCAGGTCAAGCTGGGGAGACCTCAGCAGACCTGAGGACTGCGAGTCCTCAGCGCAGCCCCCACCTGCCTCGCCTGGCACCTTCCTGCCCTCATTATTGCCCCTGAGTGGTGACACTTTTTTCCTGTCACACATTAGCAGCACCCTAGACTGAAAGCACCCAGGGCTGGGCTCGGCTCGGTATTGGAGCAGTCGGGCTCTAACAACCCCAGAGCCAGAACCCAAATGAAAAACCCACAGTGAAAATGAACCAGCTGTATCATTATTAACAGAAAGATGCTCTACGGGGCTGTGGTTCTAGCAACTGACGCTGCCATGTGCGCTCATTGTTGTTCTTTTTTAGTGCATTTGGTGCCTGGTACAGGGTCTACCACACAGCTCAAACTCATAAGGATCCTCCTGTCTTCAGCCTCCTCAGTGCTGGGATTGTAGGCATGGGCCACCAAGCCTATAATAATGGTCTTGGTGGCTGGCTCAGTGCACCCAGGGAGCAGGGCCGGTGCAGCCTGTCGTGCCAAGTACTGAACCCCAGTCTCTGTGCTTTCCCGAGCAGGTGTTTAGTCCACGGAGATATCTCGCCAGCCCATGTGTGCTTATTGTTTCTCAGTGGTTTTTGTCATTCTTTTCTTTCTGGTGCTGAGAACCGAACCCAAGGCTTTTCACTGTGCAGCTTCCCCAGCCTTTTAGAAGAGATGGGGTCTCACTAAGGTGCTCAGCTGCCCCAGTCTGGCTTGAACTCAGGACTTTTTGGCCTCACCCTCCCAGAGCATCATGTGGGATGGCTCACACATGACCACATTCCACCCCAGGCCAACTGTCTTGGGTTTCACTTGGATGGGTGCAGGGAACCTTGGACTGAAAAACTGGAGGAAGGGTAGGAAGCTGTGTCTAAGCTGAGTAAGTTTAGGCTTTCTTTTACTTATTCTGAAATTCCACCATAAGACAATATTTCTGTTAAGTAGAGAGGATGTAAGGATATGGGAGGTGGCCCAGAGGTTATATGTGAACGCCGCACCATTTCACATGAGGAACTTGGACATGCGTGGAGTCGGGTCTGGGAGCTGGAGTCCTAGAACCCCTCACCCACGGGGAGGCCTGTGTTTAGCAATTCTGTCTGCATAGCATGTTAATCCTGTCCATCACTTGGCCATGCACTTAGCAATGGGTCAGTCTCGGGTGGAATATAATAAGTTGCACTGTTCAGTTCAGTCACAATTAGATCCAGGCCGCTTCCTGACGGGACCCTCCACAAACTGAGGAAGAATGCACATATGAGTACTCAGCAATGCAAGTATCCACCTTCTGACAGCTCTGAGGGATGAGGCTCTGTGACTTGTGTTTACTGTCTGGGGTTGCACAACCACTGGGTCCCAGTACCGCCAGAGCTGGTGGGCTGGGCTCTTACCAGGGCAGGAGGTGTGCAGGGCTGCAGTGCATGGAGAGGATTTGTGTGCAGAAGCATACAAGATAACTTAGTTTGGCTCAGTCCTCATCTTTTCTCACCTACTTTTCAGTGCTTTTAACACTCCACTCTCCTTTTCCCTCTATTCAGTAGGTTTTCTAAATCTTTGCAAGCACAGCTCCGACCCCGTCACTCCCTCATGTGAAGCTTGTCATGGTGTCACCTTGTCTCTCGTATGTCCACATCCCATGACGTGATGCTTCTGCAGATCTGTCTCCTCTGGACTCCTGAAGCCATCATTCCTGGGGCCTTGGGCCTGCTCACGTACTGTCACTTCCTCTCTGGACTGCTTTCCGGTGAGTGTATCCTGCTCATCCTACTAACTACTCCCTGTCCTCAGGGCTGTGGGAAAGCCATCCTGGTCAGGAATAACTTACTCGGTCACCTAATACCCTTGGAATTCCCTAAAATACTCTAGAAACCTTCAGGAGTTCATAGTTTTAATTATGCAACATGTCTTTCCAGTCGTTATCTAACATATTTCTTCCTTACAAACTAAAAGTTCCATGAGAGCAAGATTTCTTTAGGACTATCAGTTCTAAGATCAATGTCTGGCACAAAGAGTGCACCTGATTTTTCTTGGATGGAATAATAATTGTGTTGTTTAATAATACCACCCTTGTATCCAGGACAGAGGGCTAGGAGAAATGAGTGGAGAATACTGCTAACCAATTGCATAATCTCTGGCATATTCGGGGTCATTTTATATTTTAATTAAAGATGATAATTTCTATTAAATCACTATCATACAGATCTGTTACAATAGCCAGTTGAAATTACAGTATATGTATACACATTGAATAAAGATATTGTAATTAAAAGTAAATGTTTATGACTACACTGTCAAATACATGGCTAGAACTGGTGTGGAGGGAATACACATATCAGAGTAAGTTAGCAGTAACCTGGACTCATGGGTTTAAACAGTACCGGGATTATTACCATTCTTAAGCAGTCCAGTGAAGAGGCAAGTTAGCAAATTCTGGGACAGGTTGTAATGACTGGGTCATTTTTTTCTCTTTCATTCTTTTGTGTGAATATACCTGTTTCTCAGACCCACAGCATGAAAAGTATAGCAGAATATTAAAAAGGAAAGAGACTTTCCAGGTACTCTGCTCCAGAGGTCTTCTTGGCCAGAGTTGCATCACATTTCTGGCTGAAGCCAGCTTTAGGCTGAAGAGCAGGACTGTCGTGGTTGAGTGCTTCTGTCCTTTGATTTGTAGTGGCCCTTGTCTCACCTGACACAGGAATCCATGAAAAAGGTACATCATGGGAACACGTTGTAATTGTCTTTGGAAGAAGAAGGGGTGAGGGGATGGATGGTGGGTAGGCAAGCAACAGCCTCTTCTAAGCGTCATGTGAAATAGATGCAGGGAAAACACATTTTAAAAACTATTTCCTGTTAATGGTGATTGGAAGATCTAAGTCAAATAGATCGCGTGAGCAGATGAGGTGTCACTCAGTGTTGTGGACGAGTGTTGGAATTATTGGAAGACAATTTCACTGGTAAGCTAGGCTGTGCTGGGGTGTGGCAATGAAGACAGCTTCCTCACTGTGCAGGTAGGATACACGTCTGGTTATAAGGCAAAGGCCAGTGTCACAGAGGGCTCCATACACGGTGACAGCTGATGAGGGCAGCACTGTATTCTCCTGTCCCTCCTGTGCTCATGCAGATTTACCTCACTGACTCTATTGCTGAGAGGGTGTGCTTTGGAATCTGTCCCAGACGGCCCTGGGCCACCAATTAGAGTTGATCCTCCTCTCAAAACGTGTTCACAGGCTGACCAAATAGCTCAGCGGATTAAAGTACCTGCTTAGACAGAACACAGGGGCCAGGGTTCGATGCCTGGGCCTGCTGCGCTGGCCCCTCTCCTGGGGCGTGCTGATAAAGCGAACGAGACTGGCCGT